AAGATTATTTAGAAGCTTATATATATATATTTATCTTTACATATACACATATATTTATATATTTTGCCTTATGCAGTATAAAAGGAACAAGCAGATTTTCGCAAATACCACACTGGGTCATAGTACAGATCTAATTTGCTCAATATTCATGTTTTTAATTCTAGAACTGTACACTAAAGGAAAGAGCTCAAGGAACAGGGAAGAATATATATGGAGAAAGGTTGCTTCAAAACTTAAATTGTAAACATTCATTGCAGTCTTTTAAAAAAAACTCCGATGCAAAACTTAAAACTTCCTTGCAAAACTTAAATCTTAATTCCATATCCAACTTAAATTCCATATCATCTTGGCAAAGCTGATAAATATTGAGCACTGAGAATTAGATTTGAAAATTTGGTATTCCCCTTCCAAAATCAGTCCTACCCAAGGAAAATGCAAAGCTAGGATTGCGCAGTGGGCTCGATTCCATGTTGCAGCAGAGTAACACAGCCAGATCTCCAGGAATTCCAGGACAGGTGTCTGAGAGAAACTTAGAGGAGTTCGGTCCTTCGGTTTAGAATTTCATTATCTTAGCCACGAGGCAGGTTATGTTATTTTTTGGTATATTATTGAGTTACAATTTCTGGGTTCTTATGGTTTTTACCAAGACCATTCAACAGAGTTTAAGAAAAAATATTTAGCACTTATTTTAAATATATACGTGTACGCACATATATACATGCATACGTATGTATACAAATGTGTGTATGTGTGTAGTTGCATAAGAATTTTATGTAGGTTAATAGATCAGAACCATGCCAGGAAATGCACAACCTAATACCACTAGAGCACCTCTTTGCCTGGGCAATAAACAAAAAGGCAGCATTCTTCCAGTAATGTGATTAACAGTACAGTATTTGTTTTCTGTAAAACTCATATAATCTGCAGACAAAAAATCTGTACGAACATAACAACAAAGATTAAAATTAGTCTAGACAAAAAACTGTCTGAGAACTATACTAGAGTTTTTACAAATAAGTATTGAAATGTTTTGCCAATATTAAACTGAAAACTTTCCAGCTTTCTGCAGCTGCAAGATGCTGAGTCTTAGAACACTGGTGTTATCTAGCTGAGTTTAAGAGACTTCTTTTTTTTTTTTTTTTTTCCCCCCCACTGCCAGATCTTGCATAATTTCAGCCATTCCATTTAACTCAGATAAAAAAAATTGACGCAGAAATATTAATTGTCACTCTGATTAAAGTTTTACCTGCCACTTGAATACAATTCTGTTTTCTTTTTGCATAAGGGAAACAAAAATGGGTAAAGTACCATGTTTTCCTTGACACAGAACCTGAATACTGATATAATAGCTGCCTTAATAGTTTGCAGTAATGTGGTACTTAAAAGGAAATGACTGCAACATGGTACAATTTCATAGAGAAAATGACCCATACAAGAAGATCAGTAAAAGGACATGCAGCAGAGTTGCAGAATTGTTCTCATTTGGTCATTAGCTTTAATATAAACTTGAAGAATTCTTAGTGAATTTATTTGACCAGTCCTTTTTATTTCTAACTCTTCAATTTTGGCATAAATTTAGCAGGCAACTGCTAATCCTGAACTGCTATGATTTCTCCAGAGAGAGTTATGGAAGCTTAAAAGCTAGATTATTTTCTTAGATAAGAGTCTAGATCTCAAGGTACACTTAAATCTTGTGCCCTTTTGTTTGTTTTCTTATCCCAAATAATGAAAAAAAGAGATTATATAAATAATAGAATTAGAAATGTAGCTTTCAGTCCTCATCAGCAACACAGTGATGTTTCAAATATAATTTTATGTTCTTTGTGAAGTAGTGGGTAAGAGCCTTAATAGAGAAGACAGATGAAACTGTTTTATTTTTTTTTCAAATAAAACTATAACTAAAAGTAGTTTCTTTATAATTAGAAAATTAAGTCTGTAATAGTCTCAGTATAAAGATAAATTGCAGCAATGGTAAAAAAAAAGCCTCTTCCCTCCAAAGAAATATCAGGAAATATTCAAAAGCAATATATGGATAACGTAGTGACCACACATTGAATAATCATAGTCTATTCGAGCTTACTAATCTATGTGAGGATTAAAACAGAAAATAGAGTATTTGAAATTTGAAATACACCCTATTATTAACTACAGGGTAACGAAATACATACTGTTCCTTACAGTCACACATACACACACACACACCCCCAAAGGATCCTGTCAGGCTGAGTTTACTCAGAGGATGAAGACAATACCTTAGAATAAAAGAACAAGATCTGAGAATAGATTACATAGGTGTGTTCTACAGAAAAATAATACACTGAAGACTTAGAGTAGTAAAGAAGTCCCACATTCTTCAGCAATCTGCTCCAAAAACTGACTCAGATCTCAAGCACTCTGAACTTTGTGAAAACATAAAATTCACATATTTTCAAAAGCAGATGCTTAACCTGAAGCCTATAACCCACATCACTGCTAATGTTCAGCCTGAAACACGCGCAGTGTGTAACAGCTTACATGAAAGTCTGTAACAATTCATGTTTAAAAAGAGGAATATTTTGAAGTTAGGTCCTCACACAAAGCACTAGGCAGTCATTTTTCCTGACAAATAAATATATTTAATAACTTACAAACTGATTGTTAGAATGTGCTAATATAGCTAATGACTTACTTTAAGAACCTGGGATAGGCATCAATGGCCTTTTGTTGCAGTATGCATCTATTTCTAGAAATATCTATGTGCAAATTAAAGGCTTGTTTAGTTGGAAGAGGCAAACAAAGAAAGAAAGGATATCCTCCTCAGAGTTAAAATAAATAAACAAACAACAACAAATAATCTTGTTTGCTTAATACTCATTCTCTTGTCTACTTGAGCACAGAGGTTACATGTATCTAAATTTCAAACATACTTAAAATAAAAGAAAATCCTTACACAGATGAGTGTCTAAGTTTCTTAATGTTTAAGAGTTTCCTAGTAGTGACTTATACCTGCTCTTAATCTTTCAATTAAAAATCAGTACAGTCTATCAAATTAAATGTGCCCACAAAAGCTATGGGCTAAACTTATTTGTCTGTATTGTTTTTAAAATTACACTTTTAAGGAATTGGTAAGGCTCTTAAGATTACATCCTTTACATATAGAATTTAAGAGGGAATGTACATAGTAGTGACTATCTTAAAAAGAAAAAAAAACAAGTGCAGATATCTAAATGCTCACTTGCTTCAATGAATGCACTAAGACATAATTAGAGGCACACACTGAAGGCAGACATGTAAAAGACAGGCTCTATTGTTTCCTTAGTTCAGGTAAAAATAGGCTAGATTGACAATAAAATGTAAAAAGCACTTAATCCCATATAAATTCATTTTAATATCACAAGAGGGTACTGGCTTCTCTTTTAGAATTAAAAAGAACTCGTTTTGACTTAAATGTTCTCAGTTTGAAAGAGCTCAGCTATCTCCTTCTGCCACTTGACCACAACCATGGCTGACCGTCGTGGCAATCACTGTCCCTGATCAGGAATGCACCACGCAGAAGATGGTTCCCCATAAAGACAACACTGCGTGGGAGCTCACAAGCCCCCAGAAAGGAGGAAACAATTCAACCACATTGACCACGCATTGCGCATGCACGAGAGATGTGTGACAAGCAGAGGCTTAGTGCACGATTTTCAACATGTTATTGTTCCCAGGTTACTGTTGCCTGTGGTGCATGTGTTGATTAGTTAATGGTAGAAGTATCACAACATCAGTCATATGTATGGCAAGAGAAGTGTTCTTTTCTTTGTTAAAAAAAAAAAGAAAGTAGTATGTAAAAGATGACTTGCACGACTTTTAAAATAAATGGGAAAAGTTGTAACGATGAAGTAGCAAGGACAGGCACATTACTCTAACGAGTGTGTATAAGAATATCCCACGCAACACAGCTACTGACAGCACTGTATGTAGGATGCTGAAACACTTTATGGGCAACACACAAAGACTTACACACTACTGAACATTTTGCTGCTGTTGAAATTCTGTGATAGCAACCTTCACGGTACATCCACAAAATTGGTTTGCATTGTGACCCACTGGGAAAACACATTTTATTTAAACTGACAAAAAGATACTCAAAGTCTGAACAGAAGTTTTTACAATGTCTTGATTCTTAAAAAAAAAAAAATCCACTTGACTTACAGAAAGCATTAAATAGCTGCCAAGGGCTAATTATACCATGCTAGCTTCCTTTTGTCTAGTATAAAAGGACGTTTTCTTACTTTGCCTGGCTGAGTATAATAGCCTATGAATTATGAGATCAAAGAAGCAAACTGTATGTTTTCTAAAGTAAGAGTTTCCTTCACCAAGTTTTACACTTACTACAGCTAAAAGAGCTGTGTGAAGGGATCAACACTAAACCCAAAGGACAGGCTGTGCACAGCAAGAAAGAGAGCAACTCCCTCGTGCTTTTTGCAGGTCACTACCAAGGACCATGTTAGCAGATCCACACCAGACCCTTAACAGGCAGCTCTGCTGCTACCAGTAATTAGCTTGGACAGCTCTGGCTCCAGGAGTAGCAGCAAGGCTACACCATAATGAGCTCAGCTGGGATTAGCAGGACAGGGCAGGGAACCAAGAGAGCTGAGGCATTCTGCATTGCGTATGTATCACAGAGATCAAACAAGGATGGCTGGCTAGGTTATCCCCTCACCACCTCATTCCAAAAATGAAGCACGGCAGTGTGTAAAATACAGGCTAATGAAGAGCGACACCTCCAACAGATGAGAGCCACATTAATTAACACAATCCCTAGATCATGGAATACAGTTTCTGTTAGTGCTAGCAAACTTGTAACTTGTCACTGATTTAAGAGGGGGAAAAAAAAAAAAGAGCTGAGGTTTTCCTTTCTGCTTGTGGTAGAAGATGGTTTAATCTTGGAATTTTGCAAGGAATTTTGCATGGTCTGCAAGGCACAACCTTTAAAAAAAAAGTTTAAATAAATACTTTTTAAGAAACAAACTCACTTTTCAATCAGTAGCTTTTTGTGCTCCCTTCTGAAATAAGCCAGCTCATTCCATACAGCATCAGAATCCTCTTGACAAAGCTGATGGGGTTCTGCACGCTGATGTCTGCTTTTACTGATTTCAGTCCTGCTTACAAGTGAAAACAGTGTGTTTCTTTTGAAATATCTACACATTTTAAAAACATGAGAATAAAAACATACTTTATACCGGAAAACAGATCTGAAATTGCCGCACATACTGGACATAAGCCCTGTATTCCTAACGGAGGTGTACATTTCACAATGAGCAACTTAAAATGCAGCATTTTAAGAAAGTCAAATTAAGCACTTTAAGGTAGAATTCCTGCTAGTTCCTCCCTAGCAGGAGGAACTCCCTCATTCTGCCATGCTACATAATAACTGATAAGAGAAAGCAGAAGGCAAAAGCATGACACAATGTCTTGCAAAAAAATTGAGAGCTACCAGCTCCCTTGTACCTCTGCAAACCAAACAGGAAGTCACACTAATCCCTACCTAGATCAAAATGTTTATCTACTGTCTAACAAAAGAATGAGATATCTATGAATGGATGACTCATCAGGAAAAGACCTACCGAATTTAAAAGCACAGATGAACATGAAAGTATTTCACAAGTTTTATTTCAGAAGACTGTATTAAATATGATTCTTTAATAAGAAAAATGATTAAAAATATTCCTATTCAAAACTAATTTCAATCTCCAGGCCTGGAGACTAAATTCCTACTGGCCAGAGAAATAAACTACCAGAGAATCTGTTAAGCTCAGAAGGCCCCATCACTTTTGCAGTCACGTATATATGGAACTTGTATGCACATTGACAGGTGGATTAGGTCCCATCAGCTGCCATCGAGAAAACAGACTCTAATCTATGAAGAATCAGAAATCAGAGGTGGGATCCTCTACCACTTACAAAGAATCAGAAATACCACAGAAGTATCTAACACTGAGCTCTTAACAAACAATTTACGTTACACTGGCAATGTGAATATTTTCCAGATGCCAAGCAAACAGTTCATGGTATTGAACAACTTAAAGGCTGATTTTATTTAACTCTTGTCTATTTTCCTTTGAGTTTTCCTTTGTTAGCCTATTAAAAACTGAAAAGAGCAGCAGACAAAAAGACTGAAGTTAATGTAAAACTATTCTCTGATCACAAAAATCATCAAAAGCAGTTTTTGCTCCTCACTTTAATTACAGCAAAGAAATTGTTTACTATTTTATTATTAATATCAATAATTACCAATTAACAAATACAGTTTTTAAGATTAAACTTTTTCCAATACCTACTTTGCTCAAATGTGCTCTTATCTGGAATAAGCTGGTCTCATTTATTTTCCCTTTTTAAACATTGTTTCCCTGCATATAAAGTTTGAATTTAACCATCTTCATCCGGGTAGAATTCCTGTATCTTTTGCCTTCATCTCTCTGTGGACTATGAATGCTTCCTTAGACACCGAATTAAGTCATTTCATCTGATAAGTAACTGTCATCCAACAGGTTTTGGTCATTTTCAGCTTGCGCTGAATTTAAAATAGTGAGCTTGGAGACAAAATCCTAGATGTCATTTCTAAATAAAAGCAGCTTCTTTCTCTGTCATTTAAACAGCTCTGCCAGCTATTGTACTTCAATATTTCAAAAATCTTTCTGCACTACCAAAGTATGTAGTGAATTTGCAAATCACTGCATATCCTGATATTTTTATTTTTAAAAGACAAAATTTTATAAAAGAACAAAGCATACAAACCTACTCAAATACGCCAAAGAGTTTATCATAGCACCCTTTACATTATCTTGGGCACCACGAATGGATATCGATTTTTGCAACAACTTCTAGGCCTCTGATTTGGTCAGAAGAATACTAAAACAGTCAGTGTCATGATGAATCAGGCTATTAATTTTGCTCTACATAAAAAAAAAGAATTATTTTTAGAAAAAAAAAGTAGGCATAGTCTGAACTGTAGGTACCTGATGAAGTATTACTAAAGTCAGCAGGACTTTGCATAAAATTTTTGCTATTTTGTATAAATTTTAAGTGGAAATAATATATACAGAATATTCACGATTAAAATTCCCGTGGGGTTGAGTTTTGATATTCTTTCTTTTTTCAATCATAAAGATATGTTACTGTAGTATTTTTGCAAAATAACCAGAAATAATTGATTTTATAACCATTTAACAGATGAAAACACCCTCTTTTTATGCACATGCGCTTTTTGACCCCATTAAAAGAGGATTTTAGGATTAGCTTCAGCTAACGTTTGAATCTCTAAATTTCACACAAATGCTATTATTTCTACATTGTTTAATAGATACAATTATTTTGAAAAATGTATGAAACATAAGTAGGAATTCCTCCATTATAGAAAATTAAAAACATACACAGCTAGCAAATTAATAAACTGGGGAATTACACAGGCATAATAAGCAGCTGTAGCAGACCTTTGTCCAGTACTCAAGCCCAAAATGGGATCCTAAATAAAATAAGTTGTCAGCTCAGTGCATTTTACTCTTCATTTCAGGTCTGAATTTTCTCATACAGAGGTATGACATGTATACTGCTTGAACATAGAATAAAGTCCTGATAATCACATTAACAGCGCCTTCATTTAAATAAAATTGTTTTGAATATCTATATAATACTTTTTTCAGATTTCTTGTGTAAGGCACATGTTTTTAATGAGCTATGTAACTTACATGCTAGCACCCTCTTCCCACTGCTTTAATTGCTCTTTTAGTGCTCTGTAGTTGGTCTGTAACATCTGCAGCCTCTCTTTGCGTTTTTCATGGGCTGCTCTTAGCTCATCAGTTTCTTGAGTCTGTACAGCACCAAAAAAAAAAACAAAGAAGAAAAAGAATATATTAGAATTTGGTAGAATGTAAGAGACTTTCACACGAAAGTTGAGAAAATAAGGTTCCAATTAAGTAACTACTAGGAGTTTCAAAAATCTGGATTAAAAAGATATAGAATCACAGCCTCTGAGATAAAATGCTATTTTTTTTCTCAATACTGCTTTTAAGTGAATATGCCAAAATATACATTTTTTCATAATGCTAAGTAGTTTTAAAAAATTAACTATCAAAATGTTACTGTTCCACTTGTGAATGCATTGACTTAATGTAACTAAAATATAGACCGAAAAGGAATTGTGGGCCTTGTCCTTTCCTCTAAACTACTCTTCTAGAATGAACTGTTAATTTCTGCATTTCTTAGTAAAACACTGTCAACATTAAAGTCAAGATAACAAATTTCAAGAACTGAAATGGTATCAGGATTTTCCCCCCTTTATGTTTATATACATCCATATATAAATCTTGATACTCAGGCACATTGTTATGTAACAACCAATAAAGAAAAAGAGATTTTGGAATAGCTTTGACATGAATCATTAGAAATGCACTTATTTTATAGAGAATACAAAATAAGAGAAATGCACTGATTTATGTTACAGAATAACAACGTGCAAGCTTAAAAAAAAAAAGTTTTTTATGAACAACAATAATGTGCTTTGGAAACTAAAAACATTAAGAAAAAGACATTCCACAGTATGAAGTAAGCGAAATTCTGGTATAGCATAGTAAGAAATTAATCAAATATTATCCTGCAGGAAAATTTGCTCTTTATGCTGAACTTTCAAGTTGGTGGGATCTCTGCTTGCGGGGTGACTGCAGAACATGTTCCTTAATTTGCACATAAATCACAATACTTTATTTGCATGCATTTACTGTTCACATGTAAGCAGGGCTTTCAGCATTAAACATTAAATAAAATACACCAATAGTAAGAGTTGTAAGCAGTAAGAATTAAATTCAGGCATAAATACATTGCTAGCCTTTATAAAGACTGTCAGTCACACTATCCTTGGTACAAGTTGGTCTTCCAAGTTGCAGCCCTGCTTTCAAGACACACAAACAAAGTTGAATGAAACCAACTAAAATTTTAGATGTCGTATAATACACAAAAGAGAATTTTTCTGGAAGCAACACATAAAGACAATTTAAGCATACAAAAGGTCTCAAAGTGACCTACCAATAAGCACGTTTAAAAGTTTTCTTAATCAATCACCAAATCAAATAAAATTGCAAGCTTATCGGTCCAATCAAAATACTTGAAAAGTACGTTTGACTGGTTTTTAGGAGTACAAAGAGCACAATATTAAAATTAATCACACAACTGGCAAGATGCAGATGAATTTATGGTAAAGTTGTGTGTGACAGTGTAAAAGGGCATTCTGATGAAGTAGATGTGGAATGATGAAGTCACATTCATGAAATCATTCTTCCGGAACTGTTTGATACTGCTACTGAAACTTGAACAAGACCCTCAAGAAACTGAAAACTGATGTCTGTCTTCAGTTTAAATCCTCAGAAGTTTATTAGTGTTAATGCCCTTAAAAATGGCCTTTCCCATTTGTCAACTCATGCTTTTCATTATCACTTAGATTTTCCATCACCCATTCCACTACAGCTATTGCATCTCATCAGCCTTCCAATTTTATAAGAAACAGAAATTAGGTAACTGTCCTAATCCCTCTCCTTAACTGGAGTCTTAAGCACTTCAGAACTCTGAATTTACTCTGTTATTTCTAGATTCTCAATTATGTAACTGTTTGATTGCATTATGTATTATTTTTCTAATTTGGGGTTGGACTAGATGATCTATAAAGGTCCATTCCAACCTCACGGATTCTAATCATTAAGCTCTCTTGTATCTAGTTTTCAACATACTGACAGAAACGGCACAAAGCAACATTCTCTAGCGGTGCTGGATCTCTAGGTAGCCACTCTTATAGCATGTCCTGTGAGATCCTTAAAGTCCAAAACATCAGAGGATTAAACCCACCAACCTATGGAAAAAAAAAAAAGTTATTTTATTATTTGCAGGGAAGCTCAGCCAAGCCAAAGCTCCCCACAAAATGATTTTAATCACTGTTTCAAAATTCTGCTCAATTGACTTGCATATAAGAAGCTGAACTAAAGCTGAGCTGAAAAAGAAAAGATTGGTTCAGTTCCTTTGCTATTGCTGCTTGGGCAGATAGAAAATGAGGACTCTTATACATATTAAAAAATAAACAAACACACCTGTTTCCCACAAAGCTGTAAGATTAACTTAGTTTCAGCATCTGAATGCCCTACAGAGAACAGGCCCACCTAAAGAATCTAAATTTACTAGAACATTGATATAAACAAGTAAACTTTTCTAATATAACAAATATTAAGGTAGCCATAAAGATTTAACTCTGTATTTCAGTTTCAGTTCTCTCAAAAATTAAGACCTTTAAACAAGAAGTGTGAGAAAATGGAAATGGCAAAAGGAAGATCTCCTACTGATGTCGGTAACTGACCTTCCAGTAAAAGCCAGGAATATCTCCTCTATGCCGTGCTAAGGATCACAGTTCTAGAAATATAACACAGGGCTAAAGAACACGTTCTTTCTTTCTATCAAACCTCTAACTTACAGAGACCATATTTCTACCACTTCTTAAAGACAAATAACAGATTTATATGCTTGGAGCTTGACAGTCATTCAAAATCCATGAAATAGACTATATATTTTTACATTATCTTCCCTAAATAAGGGATCAATGAGCTCTGTTATTTTCTCAGCAGGTTCTAAACCATAGAAATGAGGCAGATTTTGTATTAAAAGCTATTGACCTTCTAAAGTTAACCCTCTCTATATTAGTGATCAGGTTAGTAACAGCTGAATTCCTTGGCTAAAAGTGAAAAAACAGAAAAACTCTAAGAATGAGACTTTATCTTTTCTGTTATTTTATGATGTTGACTGCGATATCTATATTTCCTGCTGCTCAACGAACCAACGAATCGACTTATTTTTTAAAATTGTTACAAATTATCAGAAGAGCTGATGGATAAACTCACAAATTCAGGATGTGCATAATCAGCATGCTCTTTGATAGATGATTGTTCTGTGTTTTGGTAAGCCTATTTCTGGCAATCATACAAGTCAGCGCTTTGCTTGAGGGGCAATAATGCAGAAGCCAGTTTTGACAATATCGATCATGTTCACTGTTCTTTGCAGAAAGAAATGTCTGAGATGAGACTAATTGTGAATTAGTCAAGAATACCAATACACAACAATAGCGGAGCTATTCTGATATTACTGGTATTACAGTTCAGTTCAGCACCATGCTGGCAGTGGCCTCATTGAATTCTGAATGCAGTGCCCACAACAGTGTTTTAATACGTTGACCTGAGTCTGCATAGCTTCTTTTCATCCCCTTAAAGCACTTGGCAAGTGAAGTCTTCTAGAAGACTTCTAAGTCTTCTAGAAATGGAGGAGCTCATATATTTGTTTAGGGGGGATACATACATATCCCCTCTCTATAAATAATTTGTTCTATATCCCCTCTCTATAAATAATTTGTTCATTTATGCCAAAATAAAACTCCTCCACACAAAGAAAACGTAGTCACATTTTTACTAAAATTGACCTATCACGTAAGAGTATATTTTTGAATAAAGCAAGAACTCAAGACTACAGTTTATATTGTTAGCTCTATTTTCTCACTCACTTGAAATTTATTACAGTACGTTCAGTGAAACCAGTTACATGCACTGAAAAAATCCTACAAATTCTGTACTGCTGGACAATCACACGCAACAGAAGCATCATATAATAAAATACTATATAAAAAGGACATAAATCCCTTGAAAGGCCATGCTTTGCATGTCCATTTGAAAATACCTGTGGATAAAAAAGAGGGGAGTACAGATTGTAAATGTTTAATAAAATATGACTCAGAGTTTGGGTTTTCTTTGATTGCTATAAAAATACATACAGAGATGGAATTTGAATCCAAAAGAGCATTCAAAGGTATTCAATCTCTTTTTAAAATAAATAAACAAAAGAAAACAAAAAAAGCATCTATAAAATGATGAGAATGAAATGAGCAGCTATAATATGCACTCAGTGATGCTTTCCTACCAAGGTTTTTAATTTAACAGAATTTGTTAAACAACTTCTTCTGAGAAATAACTTTTAGAGAATACAGGGTATAATGTATGTTCCAAGCAACTGACTTGGGTATTTTAAAATGGTGAACTGACTGTACAATAATTTTTTTCTTTATATTTTCTGCTTGATTTTATTTCACATGAATATATAAACTTCTCAAAATACACATTCTCAGACACAAATTTTGAAAATATATTTGAGTATGTGCTATTGATGAAATATTCAAAATTTAGGCTTTCCTAGGACTACAAGCATGTCAACACAAAATTATCTGCAGTAAGGAAAAAAGATAAACTAATGCAGAGTATTTTATGCTAACACACAGTCCATACAATATGTACATTCTGCATCTTTTTAAATGCCTTACATCCTTATACAAGCTTGTAGCTGGAGGGGTTTTGTTTTGTTTTACTTTTTTTTATTGTTCACCTTTAGCTGTAGTGTCTTCTCTAAGTTTTCAATCTTCCTTTCAGCTATTTTAAGCTTCCTTAGCTCCTCTGACTCTCTAAAAGAGCTCTTTGGGGACAGAGACCTTGAACGTTTCACAGGTGGTTCCTGGAGAATAAAACAAGGACATGGTTGAACTAGTTGGAACACTGGATTATGAAAGACATGCAGAATTAAAGAAGAAGTAATTTTGAATACTAATAATGAATTATAAAAAAAAAAAATTCTGCATGGAATACCAGAGAAATAACAAGCAGAATTACCACAGCGCTACCACTAAAGGTTTCTCTGTGACTCGTTAATGAGAATATTCATTTACATTTACATTGTTTCTTTCAGAATAATGATGTCCCATTAGGGAAGACTAAAGGGTTATAGACTCAGAAATGCAAGAAACCTCATTACAAAGGAGGGGATAGAGGCTGGTCTAATTGCTCTATAAGGGTCCAAGGTTACACTTGATAGGACAACCAGAAACAAGAGGGAAAGGATTTTTTTCCCTTTGAAATAGTTTAACACACTGTGAAGTTGAAGGAACAATATGCTTGAGGAATATAAATACAACAGACAGTAGATCTTATACCATAATGACCATATGGTCATTAACTATAATGTGACTAACTAGAGACAAGAATATGTGTTTATATTATGTACAGCTTCATATAGCAATCTGGAGAAAGAATATGTGAAAGTAAAACTAGGCAGCTTTCTTGTTCATTCTATGTCATATGGCCTTATGGCAAAGAAAGAAAGACTTCATGAAATTAGTCTTTTCAATTTTTTGAACAACTTTAGTTAAGGATAGAGAGATACTAACGCATACATAGCAGCTGCAAAGCAAAATATAAAATGCTATTTAATAAATTCAAACTAATACTTAAAATTGTGGTTATTGTTATTAGATTCTATCATCTTCACTGCAAAATAACTGATTTACAACACCAAGAGTTCAGGATAAAGTCTTCTTTAATATTAAGTATTTTGACACTTCTGCTATTATATTAAATCTACCTTAAAAAGAATCTTAATAAGGAAATGGCATTTTTTGATCATAACCTTTCAGCATTAAATGTTACAAAACACTGTAGTTTTGCTTTAATTTTAAATGGAATGAGTTTCCAAAAAGTAGAAAATAAAAAGTATCAAAATCTACATATTTAAGAATCTAAGTAGTACTAATAATCTAAGTTTTGGTTGGGTGGGGTTTGTTTCTTGTTTTTTTGTTTGTTTGTTTGTTTGTTTTGTTTTGTTTTTCTTCAGAAATTTGCTTCCATGAGAAGAAAAAAAAATGTACAAAGTTTGGAGAGAGTTTTATGACAGCATATGTCCTTTGACGTTTGCATTCCATATATTTTTATATTACTATCAGTTCCTTAGAGGAAAATTGAAGAAATAGAAGAAAATTGAAGACAGTTTTAAAGAACACTTACAATGATATTTCCAAAAGCATGGGTGTTTTGGGCAGTTTACTATTGTACTGCCTAAGAAAAGATCTCCTTGAAATAGCATGATCACTGATTTTTTTCTTCTAATAATTTCAATTAACTTTAGTTAATAGATACTGATACTAATAGAAAAGCACTTAGCAGTGCACAAAGCAAGGTCCCTTCCAATTGTCTAGAGCCAAACACCCCAAAACCAAAGTATGAAAAGCTTCCAGTCACCCTCAAAACTCCAGGTTTCTTGAATAAAATAAATATCTTAAGTTAAATTTGTTATCTTCCAGATTTCATAACTACTGCATATCCCACATATTTTACCTAAGAATAACTTTTCAAGAAACAGCAAATTAACTCCTGGTTAAACTTCAATTATATATAGGGAATACTTGGAAAATACAAAATTTCTCTTAAACCAAGATCAAAGCAATGAATTTGTTGAAACAGGACAGCAAAGGAAAATTTTGGACCAAGCAAAGGAAAAGGACCAAGGACCATTTAATTAGCAAGGGAAAATAGAGAGAGAGGCTCAGAACAGGTGAACAAACACAATAATTTTGTAACAGGTTTTCTTTATGTGACAGTGTTTTTGTATGGCTGCCCAGGACATGCTGTGAATCTTCTTACCATTGAAGTACAGAGGCAAGATGAGCAGAAGTATAGACTATATTCTAATTACTGACAGACACAGAAATAGTGCCCTGTGAGAACAGGCAGGATCGGCGATACACACTGCTAAACAAGCTACTTTTGAATCTGTTTTCACCTGTTTAGTGATCAGACTAGAGGTCTGTGGAGAAAAGGAGCTTGGTCTGTGCTCTGGAGCTGCTCACAGGTAGTTTGAAGGCAATCTTTGCTATGGAAGCAAACAGTTTAATTTTCTACCAACACAGAAAAGACTGTAGTAAAATATTGATTTGATTGCCTGGGGCTGCTGCAAAATTCAATCTGGAGGATGGCATCTGTAATAATCTTCTCACAACTACAAACTTGGCTACGGCTGTTGCCAGGTTTAAGGATTCAATTTGTAATTCAGTCCTCAGATTATACAACAAGTTTACACACATTTTGATTAAAAATATACAGATTTGCAGAGTTCTAAACATTTTTTTAAAATAATTTAAAGAATAAATAGAAGAACATTGTCAGAGTATTAATTGAAGTCAGGAAAGTGCAAGAACAAAAGACTTTCTATCAAATGACTCCAAAGTGTGTTTGCAAAGGACTAAAACAAGTAACAGAATAAACAGAAATAAACACACTTTTCAATACTAATAGGAATGAAACTTTGTGAATGAATGAAATGTGAAGAAACAGCAGGTAAGTAGATGTGACACATACGTGTTTAACTATTAATGAAGGAACAAGAAGCAGAAAGAGAAATATGCTTTTTAAACAACCTCCTATTGCAAATCTGCACCATGAAAGACACTGTGGGGAAAGAAATGCAAGAGGTGAGTTCTTAAATTCAACATGTTATATGTTGGATGGAGTCTCAAAATAGAAGAAAAAAAAAAAAGAAGGAAATCAGGATTCTTACAGAAATGTCTTGGAGAACTCTGCAACACATACATCAGAATCTGTGTTTACTATTACACAGTACAGAGGACAGTGGACAAAAATCTTAATTTAATCTTCACTTTTTTAATCAGCTGAAGAAATTGAGAAACACTACAAACTGAGCCATAGGCTGAAAGAGTGAAGCTTCATCTTTTTAGGAGAGAAAAAACAAATGGAACATTTGATTAACTATGTTCAACACTAACTTTATCATTATTGCAAGTTAAAGTTGCTTTTTAAGAAAGAGATTTATTATACCTTGAAATTATATAAATACTTAGAAGAATGCTATACAATGTACAACAATAAAAGACAATTGTAACTTCTATGCATCATACAATGGCAAGTTTGAGATCTATTTGGCAGTATTTAAAAGCTTAGCTATAAAAAAAAAATAAGGCCTGTGTTACTGAATCTGCCAGCAAACCTGTGGATGGCAGATTAATCACACAGCAAATCATAACTCATAGAGTTATAAAGTTTTAGTTCCAAAAAGAGCTCTAGGAAGATCAAGCAACTGCCTCCTAAGTCTTCATACAGAAGGGCAATCAGCGCTACTTCTTTCCACAGAGACTGGAATAAGAGGGTTACACTTGCCTCTAAGTATGCACTTAACAACATCAAGAAAAATGACACTGCACATGCACATTTAACAAAGCTTTTAGCCACCACATCATCTGTCTCACAGAATAAGTTGTTTTCATTGCAATATATCACTGCAGGTGTGGGATTTAGGTTTCTGCAATTCACTAAGACCAACTCTAGCCTACATCTGTGTATCAACACTTTCTGCAGCACACAGGCAAAGTGGCCAGTGCCATGGCCACATACCCCAGGGCTGGGCACATGTTTTTGCTTTATCACATGACCAAAGTCTTTTTTAAAGTTTCCCTACTCTTTCATTGTTCCAAATTTTTGGCTTTTCATAGCAGAAAGTAATCAAAGCCTTGTCATTTCAATGAAAAGCGAATCCACGGTTAGGAAAAAAGTGCTGGATGTCCAAGGTACTCTTCCTCTCAAATTATGTGCTAATAACTCCCGCCTTGAATATTTTTGCCCTGAATGAATCAACAACAAGGTAATGGTAAGATCCCCTATTACAAGGGAAAATCAGTAGTAACAACAATGCACTCCATCAAGCATATTTTCTGTATATTCGTTGATCCTAAAGCCAAAATATTTCTATGTTTTTTCTTACATCTTGCCTAGATACAAAGACTACATAGGGATGCCAATTTATTTCCTGGAGTTTGAGTAGAGACTAAGGGCACACATGGAAATGTGCACATCTGAAACAGTTTTAAAGTAAGTACTAAAGGACTCGATCTGCATATCAAACTAGAAAAAATGATTCTCCATAATAGGATTTAAATGTTAGGATTGGGATAACTTCAAAAAGAGTAATTCTTTTTTTGTGTGTGTGTGATATACAGTGATGATCAGTCTGGGATAAACATATCACTCATTAATACTACTCTGCAGGAATAAATAGTGATCTATAGGAGGAAAGTGAGGCACCATACAACGTGATAATAAGCTCAGGACAACTCCATATTCTGGACAGCCTCAGAATCAATGATATTTCTCTTAATAACCCTATGAAGTACAGTCCACTTTCCAAAAGCTACGATAACCACTCTTTCTTCCCAGATAGTCAACCATGAAATTTTATGTACTCCTAAACAAATGTTTTAAAGTATTTCTTGCCACAAAATAGCTATAAGATAGCAAATACTCAATAGAATACTGGTAGAATACCATACAGTTTTTCAAGGGATATGGTACAAGGTACCAAATATAGGAAGAAGATGAGATTTCTAAGGAAAAAGAACTTGATATGCCAGTGTCACATACTTATCCATACAGAAGGGTATGGTATAAGCTTCTTACAAGTTTACTATATTCTACACAATCATCATTAAAAAAATGTCATGGGTAAGATTTTGAACAAACTGGCAAGGGAACAGTTTATTCTAATCTCAAAAAAAAAAAACAACTCTAGAATTATTTTCTTATCTTCTTTCTTAATGTTTATACCTGGAGCCTAAATTTAATAAGTCATAATGAAAGTGAGAGTGCAGCATGATACAGAGTAATGAAAGTCTAAAG